CAGAAATCCTCCTGCCTCTTCCTCCCAAGTGCTGGAACTAAAGATGTGGGTCACCATACCCAGATTAATTATTTCTTTATTTATTATGTACATACATACCAGAAATGGGCACCAGATCTCATTGTACATGGTTGTGAGCCACCGTGTGGGTGCTGGGAATTGACTTCTGGAAGAGCAGCCAGTGCTCTTAACCTCCAAGCCATCATTCCAGCTCCCAAATAATTAATTGTTTCTTGATGATTAAGTTTTACACTTGTGAAAAGTCAGGATTTGGTATTTTATTTTTTGGGAGGGGCAGCATCTCACTGTATAACCTGTGTGGACTTTCTGTGCTTACTCTGGCCGCCTCAGCCTGTGGAGCATCTCACTATATAACCTATGTGGACTTTCTGTGCTTACTCTGGCCGCCTTAGCCTCCAGAGCGTCAGGATTACAGGTGGGCACCACTGTGCAGTGCAGGGGTTTTTATTTTTTTCTCCTATTCGTTTGTTTTGCTTTTTGAGGCAGGGTTTCTCTGTGTTACAGCCCTGGCTGTCTTGGAACTTGCTCTTGTAGACCAGGCTGGCCTTGAACCCACAGAGATCTACCTGCCTCTGCCTCCCGAGTTCTGGGATTAAAGGTCTGTGCCATCACTGCCCTTTTCTCCTGTTCTTGACAGTGAGAAGAATAATGTTTCATACAAATTTATCTGGTTGAGAAAAAATAAGTGAAGCTGGGCATGGTGGTATAGGACTGTAAGCCCAGCTCTCGGGGGCTGAGACAGGAGGTTGCACAAGGTTTTTGCTACTGTTTTGATTTTTTGAGACAGATTATCTCTGTGTGGTCTTGGCTGTTCTGAAGCTTGCTGTGTAGACTATGTTGGTCTTGAAATTACACCTGATCCTTAGAGATTTATTATTATTATATTGTGTATGTGTAAGAGCATCCAATCTCTATAACTGGAGTTATAGCCAGTGAAGCCACTGGCCTGGGCTACATGTGGAATTCCTCTCTGTATGTTGTGAATATGTTTTATTACCATTGGTTAATAAAGAAACACCTTTATCCTATGGCAGGGCAGAATAGAACTAGGCAGAAAAACTAAACTGAATACAAGGAGAAAGAAGGTGGAGTCAGGGAGATGCCATGTAGTTGCTAAAGAAGAAAGATGCCAGAACTTACTGGTAGGCCACAGCCTTGTGGTGATACACAGATTAAAAGAAATGGGCTAATTTAAGATGTAAGAGGTGTGATTTTTCGGGTCTGGGAGGCTGGGAAACAATCAAGCAGTCTCCACTTACACTACAGGGTGAAGTTCTGTCTCAAGCTGAAACAAACAAATTGCAAAAGAAGGTGGTGAAATAGTCACGGCGCAGAGGTTAAGAGCACTGGCTGCTCTTCCAGAGGAACTTGGTTCAATTCCCAGCACCCACATGACGGCTCACAACTGTCTGTAACTCCAGTTCCAGGGAATCTGACACCCTCACTCAGACACACATGCGGGGAAGACACCAATGCACATGAAACAAATAAAATCATTAAAAAGAAGAATTATGAGAAAGAGAGAGAGCATGCACAGTCCGAGTCAAGGACATGAGGTACACCAGCTACTGTAACTGTAGGCCTAGGGTAGAGGCGTTGGGAGACCTCCAGGTGCCTAGACCCTGTAGAGAAAATGAGATGGATATTATATATGGTGGATGCATATGCACCCTTCAAGGCAGCCACCTCATCTGGGTGTCTCAAACAATAGGAACTGAGAAACAGATCTCACAAGCCCTCTGTGAGAGCCAGGCTGCCGAGGGAAGTCTCAGAGTAGGCAACCGTGGCCCTGGATGTCTCCCACAGAGGCCGAGGTCGGTTCTCAGGCTAGTCTGATGCCTTTGGTGCCACCATCTGCTCAGACCTCGGCTCCTGCATCACACAGGTCTTCCTGCCTCCACAGCCCTTGCCAGGCCTTCAGTAGGGCCTGATAAGTTTTACAATGCTCCTGTCCCAGGTCGTGTGTAAGAAACATTTCTATATTTGCTTGTCCTCGTTCCAGAGGACACAGAGGTTCGTGAAAACACCACCTTTTATCCTGGCTTTGAGTAGGAGAATTAAGAATTCAAGGTCACCGAAAGCCCCCAAACAAGCTTTAACAGAGGCTAACGTGGCAGCCCTCTCGAGAGGAATGACACTGGATTCATATGTAATAGGTATTTGTGATGGTATTGTTTGGACAGTGTCATAGTGGCTGCTGATTTGGGTGAGACTGAAGTCGGGTTCATCCACACAGAAGAGATGAGCTTCCTGGCATGGCCTTTTTGCTGTTCTCACAGGAGAGGGCTAGGGTAGAAAAGGAACCCCCTTCTCCCAGATCTCAAGCACAGGCATTGCTTCCTTGGACCAGAGTGCCAGGTTAGGAAGGGCGGTCTGTCGCTGACTTTATAGCACAGTGTGTCCACTCACCACCCTCAATGGGCCTTGCGCTGCCAAGATCCCCAAGGTCTAGCACAGACACGACACAGCAGGCTCTCAACATGTGTTTGCTGAATGAAGGAAAGTTCTTCTTTTGCCTAAGTCTGCTTAAGAACTGCCTTAGCTGGCATGTTGCTATAACAATCCTATAACCCCAGCACTTGGGGGACTAAAGCAGGAAGATTCCCTCTAGTTTGAGGCCCTCTTGGGCTGCTTAGTGAGACTCTGTTTCGAAAAACAAACAAAAAGTAACCCAGGGGTGATGTCATGTGCCTATAATCCTAGTCCTGGGGAAGTGGAGGCAAGCAGATCGTAGGTCTCCCTCCACTAAACAGCAAGTTCAAAGCCAGTATGAGTTACATGAGACCTCAAAAAAAAAAAAAAAAATGGAGGCAAGGAGTGTGTTTTCAGAAAATGCCTAGCCTAGACCCACATGGGGACAGAGTCGCAGGCACCTGCTTTTTCCTTGGGCTTCAGAGTGTTGCCCCTAGTGATCCATTTGCTGACCTTGCGTAGTAGCCAATCAGATTAAAGTAATCACCACATCTGTTGAATGCTTGCTAACGTGCCAGCAATCTATACAGATTACTTGGACTCCTTGTAGGAAATGTTACTATTCTCACAGGCGAGGAAACTGGAGCCTAAAGAGCAGTCAGTAAACTGCCTGAGATCACACAGTACAGATATGAGGAAGGGAGGGAAGGGGGGAGGGGAGAGGGAGGGAGGGGGGAGGGAGGGAGGCTGTGTGACTGTAGCTTTGCTGATCTTTCTTTCTTGTCCCCTAAGTACACTGGTGATGGCCAATGAGATGAATAGGGACAGCAGCTCTAGGACCCTGAACAAGGCAGCAGGGAGAGGAAGGATGTGCCCTTGTGGAGAGCTTACAGGGTCAGCACTGAGTTACTTAGTGACCTCAGACTCTTGATTCCCCACGGACAACCTGCCTAGGCCCGGTCAGGACAGGCAGGAGACATCAGTTCCCCTTGGCTCTTTAAACGTTTGGCTGTCGTTGGAAGCCAGAGATGGAAAGTAAGAGATTAGCAAACCCCAAGACTAGACAGAACGGGCTGCTGATTGCATCTGCCCTCAGAGGCCTGTGACTGAGAAAGGCATGAGGGCTGAAGTTCATCACTTCACAGGGTCGTAGGAGGGAGGACCAAGGGCAAGAGCCAGGGCTGGGCCTCTCCTAGGTAGCACACTGGCAGGGGAGTCTCAGGGAAGGCCTTAGGGGTCTCGCTCTATTGGGCTAGAAAGGATGATAACTGGTATCTGTCACACATTGTTAATATACCCAGGTCACACCTCAAAAGTCTCATGTGCTGCCCATATCCTGGCCCAGCTCTCCTGCCCTTCCAAGGGACTTCTAAAGCCCTTCCCGATTTAGTGACTGAAGCACTAACACCCGCTGGGCAGGGGCTTCCAGCACCCAGCCTGTTACATCCCTGTACCAGAGCCTCTGCTTATAGCTCCAGGACTGGGAGCTTGGAACAACCCAAGCAAGTGCTGACCCCAAGCAGGGCTCAGGGGATAGGAGGTGACCTGGGGGGGGGGGGGTCCCATAGATGCTGAGCCATTATCTAAAGGCTGTTCCTGAAAACAACCTATGTGCTGACTGAGGAGTGATGGGAAGTCTCTGAACGGAGCCCACATGTTCCAGATGAGAGCCGTGCCACCAGAGCTGACCTCTGACCTTTCATGTGCCTGGCTGGACCCTTGCCAGGAAACTGGACACCTAGAATCCAGGTGTTCTCCAGAGTCCACACAAGGGTATGATGGAGGCCCAAGTCCCTGATGGGACAGTGGAGGAACTGGACAAGGAAGCAGTGAAGAAAGGACAAGGCCCCTGTGGACGGCAGGTGTCCGCACCCACAGTGCCAGCATCTCTGTCTGCTAGAGTCCTTCAGGGACCCAGCACCCAGTGACTAGCAGCCCCTTCCATGACTCTGTGGGCTCTGTGGCCCCTGTTTTTGGAGCCACAATCTCAGCTCAGCACTCAAGTGGTAGAGGCAGGGGCTTCTGAGAGGGGCCATCGGTTTAGCTGCCCAGCCAGGCAAAGAAAGTTCTCAGAGGAGTCTGATAGTCTAGTGTTAGCCAGGACCCCAGGGGGCAGCTCTGTAGGAAGGGACCCCTTCCCAGACTTCCATCTCCCAGGGAATTCAGATTGGAGGGGGACAGCAAGGGTCCCCCTGCTGGGACTCAAGTGGCTTGTTAGTCCTCCAAGCCTAGAGAGCTCTGTCTCACCGCCACTCTCCAGATGGGGGAGTCAAATAGCCCTTACTTTTTCCGTCTTTCGTGCTAACTTTGGGGGGACCCGGTAGGACCTTTAAGGGATGCTAATACCTTGGGTGCCACTCTCTAACGCCAGGTTTGAGGAGACACCTCCCACCACCGTTCTGGCATCTGGGGCACAGTTTGTGGGAAGCTCACACCTCACCTGGGCCTCAGCAGGACCACGGGAAACAGGATCTGACCTGCACGGTGAGTCTTTGCCAGCCTCAAGCTGAGGGGTGGGGCTCTCCTAGGAGCAACACGGCCTCCGCCGGGCGGGGCCTCCCTTTGCAGCTGCAGGAGTCGGTTTGGCAGGCCCAGCAGTGCTGGAGTTTGGGACAGAACTGCACCCATGGCCCGCACTCCTCGCCACCGGCGCCTGGTCCTGCCGTTGCTGTGCCTGCTCTTCCAGGGCGCCACCGCCCTCCTCTTTGCGGTCTTTGTCCGCTACAACCACGAAACCGACGCTGCCCTGTGGCACTGGGGCAACCACAGTAAAGTGGACAACGAGTTTTACTTTCGCTACCCAAGTGAGTGAGGGTGAGGGTGTGGGAAGCAGAGACTCTAAGCCCTGGGTATGTTGGGAAGGGCGCTTGAATGAGGGAGTACTCCTTCCACCGAGGTGACAACCAGGGCTTTAAAATAGTCCCTTCCTCTAGTGTCTGTCTTGTTCCCGGCACGCGCTCTCTCTCAGGCTGAGGAAGGGTCAGGCTCAGGGTCACATAGTAAGGGGAGCTGAAGTTTCAACCCCCTTGTAAATAGGCTCCATGTTAATCAGTGTTTCGTCTCACCTTCCATTGGAGCTAATTCGACTTTGTCTAGGAGTCCAGCTTGACTACAGGAAAGAGAAGCCTGCTGAGATTGACAGGCAGGGCGCTAGAGAGGACAACACTGGGCAGGCTCACCAGGGCCAAGGCCAGCATGAAGCGGGTGGGGGACCCTTGGCAGGGTCTAAGCTGGCTGTGATGTGCCTGTTATCACCCACCACAGGTCCAACAGCGAGAACGGGGTGTAGACACCATAAACTCCTCGACCAATGGCCATTGGCCTCTTAACAAGGTTCCGGATGGGGCGTTAAGTCACAGATGGAGACAGGGCATCTCCCTCAAGCTGGGTATCTGGAACCAAACATACCACCCTCTCACGAGGGCCCAAGTCAACCTTATTTAATTCCAGTTACCCATCCAGGTATCAGGAAGAAGCTGGGTGTGGCGGCTCCTGCCTGTAATCTCAGCACTCAGGTGTGGAGGCAGGAAGATCTGGAGTTCAGGGTTAGCCTTGGCTATACAGTGAGTTTGAGACCAGCCTGGGCTGCACAAAATCCTGTCTCAACAAACAAAACAAAACAAAAAAGGAACCGTTCGTGCACGCTTTTAATCCCAGCACTTGGGAGGCAGAGGCAGGCAGATCTCTGAGTTCAGGGCTAGCCTGGTCTACAGAGTGAGTTCCAGGACAGCCAGGGCTAAACAGAGAAACCCTGTCTGGCAAAACAAAACAAAACAAACAAAAAAGGAAAAAGAAAAATATCTCAGTTTGAAGGACATTCAGATAAGGTCTGGGGTATGAGAGCCCTCCCCCAATAAAACAATGAGGCTATTACCACCCACTTTCTACAGCTGAGCTGGTGGCAGGCTGTCTCCACCTCACTCTGCCCTGGCCTTAGCTCTGGGGACATAGAGGATTGAGGGAGATTTTGAAACACCAGACCCCTAACCACCCACCGCACCTACCTCTCCACGGTTCATTCCCAAGTGTGTCAGGGAACCAGCAACCAGGCCACAGAAGCTGGTATTCAAACAAAAGCCCTAAAACTGACCATAGAGACTGGGAGCTGGGAGGAAATGGGTCAGAGAAGTGAGGGAGGTGAGCTTTGGTTTCCTGTCTAAGCTGGCCAGGAGCAGTTTCACTTGGGGCCTCCAAATGCACCTGTTTGTTCCAAATCCCTCCGTGACTCCCCTCTTACCACTGCGGTAGTGCTGGGCTCTCCGCCCCAAGAGGGCAGCCAGAGGATCAAGACAGAGTGAGCGCCTATCTGCCCTGGTGTCAATTTCTGTGGACTTTGGCCCTGCTGTTTGGGGAAAGCTAAGCAGGAGGGAGATGTGAGGTCCCTGAAGCCTGGGCTTTGATGAGCCGAGTCCTGTCCGTCCCTGTGTCCAGAGTAAAAGGTCAAGGCCAGAGGGCGGGGAGAAACAGCCTTTGACAGGGAAGATGAAAGGGTTGTGTGGTGGTTGGCCATGGCCCCTGGCCCCGTGGCTGCGGGCATGCTCACTCTCAGAGGCCGTCTGTAGATGGCAGATGTCCCCCAAGACAGGACAGGATGGGCCCTCAGATTCTATGGTCTACCTCTCTAGAGCCATCTTAGGGGAGATGGAGATTGGGCCTGTGACCTGCCCTCGGAGGATCTGGACTCTTTTCCGGAAGCTGGGGTGGAAGAGGCTCGGAGATGGCAGCTCCCACTCCCCTCCGCCTCATATCTGCCTTTTATAGAGGAGGCACCTGAGGCTTAGAGAGACCTCAGGTCGTGTGCCCAAGGTCATGAGGTCAGCTGCACCGGGTGCTGACACGGCAGCCCTAACGGTAGCCGTGCCCTAGTCTTGCCCTGGGAGGTAGGACTGGTGTGGTAGCCCGGAGGATTTGGGGTTTTATTTGTTCTACCCTGTTTTGTTGTTTTGTTTTGTGACGGGGTCACATGGCCCAGGCTGGCCTCAAACTCATTGTGTAGTCCAGTCTGGCCTTGACCTCCTCATCTTCCTGCCTCCACCTCTTACAGGGCAGAATTACAAGTGTGTGCCACCATGCCTGGCTGGGATTGAGTTTTTGGTGCAAACAGTAGCATTTAAAACAAGCTCAGAGCAGTTAGGAGAAGTTCCTGCATGAATGGGCTTTGAAACATGCCATCCAGCCCCCTTGGTTTCTTGCTGTCCTTGGACAAGAACAAAAAGAGTTCCTCTTGGATGTTTGAGCAAGACAAAAGGCAGAGAAGTCTGAAAGATTGTAAGCTAGCCCAATTGTGGTAGCACACTCCTTCAATCCCAGCACTCAGGAGGCAGTGGCAGGCAGATCTCTGTGAGTTTGAGGCCCAGCCTGGTCTACAGAGTGAATTGCAGGACAGTCAGAGCTACATAGTAAGACCCTGTCTTGGGGGGAAAAAGGCTGGGGGGCTCCTGAGTTCTAAGTGTGCCTCTCCTTTCTATTGTGTGTATGATCTGGGTCACCCTGAGGAGGGGACAACATGCGCTGGACACCCAGGGTTGCAGGAACGAGCAAGGCATTGCTAGTATCTGTTTCAGCTCACACATGCAGACAGCTCTGAACCGGCTTCTCTCGAGGCTCCTGCTTGCATCCCAAAGTTCAGTAGCAGCCTTCGGCCTCTTGAGATCAAACAACACAGAACACGAGCTTGAGAACCTGCTTCTTCCTATGAGAAATTCAAGGTCATCCATGATAAAAATGTATATAAGTTGAATATCATTATGAAAGTCCTTGGAGTCAGAAGTGTTTTGGTTTGGGGAGTGTTTATGTATGCATAATGAAATCCCTTGAGGAAGGCAGTCAAGCCTAGACAAGCAATCCACAGCCGGCCCACACTTACCCTATACAAACAGCCTGAAGGTGATTGCCTGCAATGTGTTCAGTAAGCCTGCATTTCGGGTAAAGCCCATTGGATGAGACCCTGGGTGGGTGTGGAATTTTCCACTATAGCATCACACTGATGCCTGAAAGCTTTCTGATTCTGGAGAGTTTGGGGTTCCCCATTTGCACAGTGGGCGTGCATAAGGAAAGACACGCGGGAAGATGAGGTGCATCATCTGAAGTGAGGATTGCGTGAGAGCGTGGACGTGTGAGAGCGTGGACGCGTGACATCACCACAGCTCCGGCTCCCAAGTGGCCAAGGAGAAAGGTCAATCTGAGAGTCTGTGTTCTCACCAGCAGGCTGAATCTCCAGTCTGACTCCGCCCTGAGAGCGGGAACTGACTTCTTGGTGGGAACTGTACCCTGGGCCCCATCCACAGATGCTCAGACATCTATTGCTCACAAGCGAGAGACAGACATCTTCTCATCCCTAGCGCAATTTCTCATGTGGAATGTGAAAGGAAGGAGGATTTAGGGTGATGTCCCTTGTCCCCAGGCGTTTGCAGAAAGGGAACCCCCACAGGCTTTCTGCTGGTGGGTTTTGTTTCTGCTTGTTCACGTTTGTTTGTTTGTCTTATTCTGTAGCCATGGCTGTCCGGAAACTAACTCACTAGACCAGGCTGGACTTGAACTCAGAAAGATCAGGGGCTGGAATAAAGGGTGTGTGCCACCACACCTGGTCTTGTTCACGATCTTTTGAGAGGGGCTCTTACTCCCTAGGCTGACCTTGAACTTGGGGCAGTCCTCCGTGTCTCAAGTGTCCATCATGTCCAACCACTCACCTCGTTTGAAGACTATGCTGCTGTTGCAGTCCAGCGGGACTGAACTAGGCGATTCTCCCCCTCCCCTGTCACTGTGGAGTGCCCGGATTATAGCTGCGCTTACCATATCCAGCCTTTTACATGGGTTCTGGGATCATCAGCCTTGCCTGTGTGGCTAATGCTTTTGCCTGCTATTCGTCTCCCAGCCCCTTTAATGCTGATTCTATATAGCTAATCACTCAACAAGCTAATCACTTGTATACTTCTTATTCTCAGTATTACTCTGTATTATGAAGAAAGCAAGAGAAAAGGCCCAAGCCTTTCGGTCCAGAAGTCCACCATATGCTCAACAGTTCAGGAACACAGGCCATGTGTGGTCCCATGCTGTGAGCCCAGCTCTTGGGCAGCTGAGGCAGGAGGCCCAGAGTCTGAGGACAGCCAGACTACTCAGTGTGAGCCTGTCTCAACAGAGCAAATGTGATGTACAACGCAAAAAATTCAACATATAGAAATAAACAAACAGGAAGTCAGTCGTCACACCTGAGGACACCTGCGAGACACAGGTTCCAGGTTCTGCCACTGCACGCACGCCACAGCAGTCTGCCCTCTCCCTTCAGTTCCCGTGCGGGTGGGCTTAGTCCCTGTTAACAATTCGAAGCCATTTCCTAAGCTGTTTTTATTCTATTCTCAAAATAGGGAGGTATAGACTTGGAAAGATGAGAGATGGAAGTTAGACATCAAGAAGGGCTTCCTTGTGGCTCGGGAGATGGCTCAGTAGGTAAAGTGTTTGCTGTGCAAGCTTTAGGACCGGAGTTCAGATCCTCAGCACACAAGTAAAAATCAGGTTAGCAGCATTCACTCATGATCTAAGGATAGAGAGGGACAGACCCCAGGGCTTGCTGGCCGTCCACTCTGTCACGTTGGTGAGGTCCAGGCTTGCTGAAGGATCCTATCTCATTGCAAGGCAGAGCATGGTGGAGGGAAACATGACACCTACCTCTCTATACACACATGTATATGTGTGCATACATATACATGAGAACATGTACACACTACACACAGGGAGAAGGAAAGTGTGTGTAGAGGAGACAGGGCTGCAGCAGCAGAGAGTAGTGACTGAGCTTCCTGTTCAGGTGAGCAAATGGGTCAGGGAGGAGGAGAGCCAATGCTGTAGCAGGAAGTCTAGCTCTTCCCTCGAGCACAGATGGCAAGGGTGGCCTAGCCCTGTTGCTCCAGGCTGGACCTTTGTTCCAGCTGCTCAGGGGTCGGACGTGGGGGAATTTACAGGCATGGTGCTGCTTCAAGGCAGTCTTGACTACAGGTCTGTGTTGGCTGGTGGGTGTGACTGGAGCAGGCCTCACGATTCTGCCTCTTCCTCCCTCCGGCCCCTCCCCTGTGCACCCGCAGGCTTCCAGGATGTGCATGCCATGGTCTTCGTAGGTTTTGGCTTTCTCATGGTCTTCCTGCAGCGCTATGGCTTCAGCAGCGTGGGTTTTACCTTTCTCGTGGCCACCTTCACCCTGCAGTGGGCCACGCTGGTCCAAGGCTTCCTTCACTCCTTTCACGGCGGCCACATCCACGTTAGTGTGGAGAGGTGGGCAACAGTACGCCCCTGGCCCCCCAAAGGCCCTGCTCCCCAGAGGGTTCTCCAGGCCACTGTCTGTTCTCCCAGAGGACTGACAGCCAACGAAAAATGGCACCTCCTACCTCCTACTTCTTCTCCTCTCCAAGGGTGGGTGGCACCCCCTGATACCCAGGAGAGGTCTGTCCTCACCGTGCCCCACCGTGCCCCTCACCTTCCTGTCCCCCTGCCTCTCCCACCCTGTGTAACTGCAGTTTAATCAATGCTGACTTCTGTGCGGGTGCGGTGCTCATCTCTTTCGGGGCTGTTCTGGGCAAGACGGGGCCAGCGCAGCTGCTGCTCATGGCCCTACTGGAGACGGTGCTGTTTAGTGTCAACGAGTTCGTACTGCTCAGCCTCCTGGGGGTGAGTCTGCCCGGAGGAGGTGCCACCCACCCGGGTGTTGGTCAGCCTGAGAGGAGGATGGGTGAGGGCAAGGCTGCCTCACAACCCCTGTCTTTCCCAGGTGAGAGATGCTGGGGGGTCCATGACCATTCACACATTTGGGGCCTACTTCGGGCTGTTCCTCTCACGGGTCCTCTACAGATCCCAGCTGGAGAAGAGCAGGCACCGCCAGAGCTCTGTCTACCGTTCTGACCTCTTTGCCATGATTGGTGAGACCTGCTGAGGTGAAGTGGCGTGAGGAAGGATTCCTGCACTGTCAGACGGCCTTTGAGTCCTTCCTACTTGCTTTTGGGGGGCCTGAAATCCATGCTTATCACTGCCCCTAACTTACAACTCAATGCTGGGGTACACAGGAGCCCACACCAGGCGCTGAGGCCTTTCAAATCTACCTCAGTCCTGCTTGACTCCTCCCTGTCTCTGCAGCCCACATGTGTGAAGCCAGACCCATCACCCACCGTACAGTCCTTTTTCTCTTGTGCCTCTGCCAGGTCTGGTCACCTGCGCTTGAGCAGGGAGGTAGAGCCCTGGACCACCCCGGGAACAGTAGGGCCTGTTTGCCCCAGGTTCCCCCTCAGGTGGCACACTGCCCTCTCCGCCCTCACAGCTTGCCATCCGGAGCCCGTGTTTCGTGTGGAGTGTTGTTAACAGTCCTTGCCTTCTCTACCCTGGGCACAGGACACTGAGAAGGTCCTCATCTTGAGGCAGTATTAGGACTTTGAGCCAAAGTGAAGGAGCCCGCAAAGTCCCTGCTTCTTCTTCCCTCTCTGAGCTTAGTCAGAAGGCTTAGGAGCAGGGCTGGGTGGTGGTGGTGTACATCTTTGACTCCAGAGGCAGAGGCAGGTGGATCTCTGAGTTCGAGGCCCAGCCTGGACTACAATGGGAATTCCAGGACAGTCAGGGCTACACAGAGAAATCCTGTCTCAAAAAAAAAAAGCAGTCTGTGTGTGTTGGGGACGGAAGCCGGAGTGCAGCATGGGCTAGGCCCCATGCTGAGCAGTCAGACCTAGCGGCCCATGAGACAAGCATTTATAGGCATCATTCCCTCAACTCTCATCATAGAAAGATTTTTTTTTTTTCATAACAATTCCAGGAACCAGCAAGGAAATTCCAGGCTGCATAATTTCTCTGCAGTGCAGCGCCCCCTGGTGACGAGGGCCACTTACTACTAGATGCTCACTGTGGCTACCCACTGTTTAGGGACCATCTTCCTGTGGATTTTCTGGCCCAGCTTCAACTCTGCGCCCACAGCGCTCGGGGATGGGCAGCATCGGACAGCACTGAACACGTACTACTCGCTCACCGCAAGCACCCTCAGCACGTTTGCCTTGTCAGCCCTTGTCAGTGGGGAAGGCCGACTGGACATGGTAGGGGGAAGCAGACGGGCAACCTGTAAAGGGAAGAGGGGAATGAGAGCTGGCGAGTCCAGTAGCCAGATGACAGCAGAGGCCACTGGAATGGGTGGGGCTGGAATGGGGGCGGGTGTGATGATCTGAAAAGATACCTTGCCCTTTTTTTGTCCCCGTAGGTCCACATCCAAAATGCAGCACTGGCTGGAGGGGTCGTGGTGGGGACGTCAAGCGAAATGATGCTGACACCCTTTGGGGCTGTGGCAGCTGGCTTCCTGGCTGGGACTGTCTCCACCTTGGGGTACAAGTTCTTTACGGTAGGTTGCTTCTCAGGACCTGGGGAGAAGAAGCATTTGAGGGAAGGGGCCTGCACCAGGGGCATGGGATCCCTAGCCCTTCTGCTACCTCCCCCACCAGGTTCTGGGTAGGGGTAGGTGGACTGCCCACAGCTGATTACCCAACTTGTCCTCCAGCCTGTCCTTGAGTTCAGATTCAAAATACAAGACACGTGTGGTGTCCACAACCTCCATGGGATGCCAGGGCTGCTGGGGGCCCTCCTGGGAGTCCTGGTGACTTGGCTGGCCACCCACGAGGCTTATGGAGATGGGTGAGACTATACTAACCTCCCTGGAATGACCTCCCTTCTCCTCTGAGAGCCAAGAAAAAAAAATGCCCATCTGTTCTCATGTACCCATTTGGCTATTCTCCCACCATATGGTGAGAGCCAAGGACCTGCCCAGGCCTGGCCTCCTGGTCAGTGAAGTGGATGGTCACAGAGAAAACAATTTCAAGAGCATTGAGCATTCCTTCAGGACCAGTAAGCGATAATGAGCCCTGGGATCTACAATTCACACTGTGAGCTTGGAGTAGGCAGGCAAAAGGGACCTTGGACTGGGTTCTGGAAGGTACGTGGGGTTGGGTAGCTTAGGAAAGGAGGTCAAAAGTGAGGCCTGGCCGGACAAAGTCCTCGGAGAGACAGTGGGGATCCCTGGACACCCTCTGGCTGCCGGCACCTACATGCCACAGTGACCAGCCTTGGCTGCCAGCTCATCTTTCCCTATTGGTCTCCTTTCAGCCTGCAGAATGTATTTCCGCTCATAGCCGCCGGCCAGCGCAGCGCCACATCTCAGGCTGTTTATCAACTCTTTGGGATGTTTGTCACACTGGTGTCTGCCGCTGTGGGGGGCAGCCTTGCAGGTGAGTGGGTTTCGTGGGCAGGGTGGTGGGTGAGAGGCCCAAGAACAGGCGCGCAGGAGGAAGAGCAAGGGATACCGCGCACTTCGTGCGGTCCTCTCGGAACACCTGCCTGCGCTAGCAAAGGCGCAGCAAAGGTGCTGGTGGGAGATTGCACCTTCCAGGGGGAAAGGACGGCCGGTCCCTTGGTTATGGGGTCTGACGTTCCTGTGCTGCTCCCTTGTGCCACTAGAGGGCAGTCCAACCCTAGCTGCTGGGAAGGGGCCAGTTCAACCTCCTCCTCTAGATAGCAGCAGACAGAAAGGAGGCTAAGCCCACCCTGGACCAGAGCACAAAGCCTTCCGCAGAAGCTGTCTGTTCACTGGCTTAGGTCAGAGTCCCTCCTGACAACTGGCTTTAAGAACAAAATCCCAGCACTTAAGAGGCAGAGGCAGAGGCAGAGGTAGGTGGATTTCTGAGTTCAAGGTCAGCCTGGTGGGCTACAGAGTGAGTTCCAGGACAGCCAGAGCTACACAGATAAACCCTGTCTAAAAAAAAAAAAAAAAAAAAAAAAAAAACAAGAATCAAAAACAACAAAAATGAACAAAGTGTGATGGAACATCCCTAGCCTCCCATATATACGCTCTTCCTGAAAACTTCGCTCTCCACAGTCCAGCTTTCCAAGTCACATTTTATGCAGTAAACTTCCTCTGGGTCCCTCCCATGTGGGCCACAAAAAGATCACAGCTATGCTTCACGATAGAACCCCAATAGGACCGTGAACGCGAGCAGATTCCTTTAATTTCACCAGCTGCCTTCTTTGTGGGTAATTCGGGCGGGGGGGGGGGGGAGCCACCTTGCAGGGCTACACCTTCTCAGAAAGGGGGCACTCTGCAGCCCTTATCAACCTGTGCTCCTAGGTGGCGACCTCCCCCTCGGGTAGGGACTGGGGAACCTTACATATCCTTCCCTATGGCAACCAGGGCTCCTGCTGAGGCTGCCCTTCCTGGATTCCCCTCCAGACTCCCAATGCTTCGAAGACCAGGTTTACTGGGAGGTGAGACACGGGCTTCTCCCCATAGGGCATCCTCGGCTGCCTGCCCTTACCTCTGGGCTGCCACTCCCTCTTTCCTTCACCCCTCCCTGCCTTGCAGGTGCCCGGAGAGCAGGAGGCTGAGGTCCAGAGGCCTCTGCAGTCTGAGGAGACCCAGGCTTAATTGCTGCCAACATTACACTGTCTTCAGAGAGGATGGCTTCTGCTGGCATGACAGTGTCTGTCTTCAGAGAGGATGGCTTCTGCCGGCATGACACTGTCCTTGGAGAAGACAATAGCTCTGCCAAGAGGCCCTTCTCAGCCCTTGTTACTATTTTACAGGGAGGTCTAGACCCAGAAGGGGCTTACCACCTCTAGGTGGATCCCCATTAGCTTGCTCCTGTAGTCATAATAGGCCCAAGTCAGCCCTAGATGACGGCTACCCCACTGGCCAGTGTTACCCCGTCCCAGTGATACCTGAACCAGGCCCACTCTGGGTGTGAGACTGGATGATAAACACCACCATCACCAAGACCCCGATACCTTCCATTTGTCTCTTTCCTTTACTCCTGAGGCCAAGTTCTTGAGGCAATCAAAGATCTTAGTGTTGACAAAGTCTCCTCAGGTCCACATGCTCCTGGATATATGTCCCGGAGAGTTCCACCCTCTCCAGTGGAGCGTCAGTGTCAGAAAGTCTGTGCTTGTTTTAGCCAGCTAATGCTGCCCCCAAATCCTTCCTGGTCCTTCCTTAACTGCTGCTGCCCTGGCCCTCAGCTGAGTTCGCTTCTGAGCAGAGTAGAAAAAGGCCCAAGAAGTGCATCAGAAGGAGTGTCCTACCACAAAATCTCAGAGCCAGAGGCAACTGATGCCAGTTCACAGTCCTGTCCTGAGTCTGTGGATCAGGATCAGAAAGGTGGATGAGGAAGGCGCCTGGAATCCCGGTAGCCTAAACCATTTGACCACAAGAGGGCACTCTAAAACCAGCAGAAGAAGATGCCAGCCCCAGGTCTCACCTAGGTCCCTTGCAACCTAACCTTCCTAGCTGCCACAGCCTTCTCTGAGCTCCACCCCTTCTGTGTGTCAGATGATGTCAGAAATTCCATATCTCACCCACTCACAGGGACTTTCCCCCCCCACATCAGGAGGGACTGGGACCCCTCTTCCTTCTCTCACTTGGCCTACTAGTGGGCTTCTGGCAATCACAGACACATCTACCTCCAAACTAAGGTCCTTCCGAGCTAGGAAGCCAAAGGGAAAGAAGTATCCTGGAGCCCAGCCTCTGAGAACGGCAGAGTTGCCCAGGGTTCACCTGGGCTCTCTGGGTTCAGGTGGAGATGCTAGCCAGGGAGCTATCCTCTTGTTCCCTCAACCTTCTCCCTTCATAGAACCCTGCCCATTGTTGGGTGAGGATCCCAGGACTGAAGCAGAAAGCTCTTAAGTCACTGTGGAAAAGCAGCTCGGATGGGTGATGGCCAGCCAGCTGGCCTGGCCTGGCCTGGCCTGGCCTGCCCTGCCCCCGTTGCTGCCCAGGCTTTCCTGTGAACATTTTCAGTCTCTACTGCTGGTTTGTTCTAAACTGCAACCAAGCCTTTTCTTCAGGCCTGAAATAAATGGGCTCTTCCGGCTCTGAGAGAAGGTCATCTCAATCCTGGAGAAGGGAAATGTGAGTCCTTCTTCAGTTAGGGCAGTCGCTCTGTCACTAGCCCCAGGGTGGCCTGACAAAAGGTCACTGTGAAGAGAGACAAGGTGAGGATGCTCATGACCTACGACATCACCAGTCACTGCCACAGAGTCCGGTGTGCAGGATGACACAGACTCCACCGCCAGCCCTGGTGTTCTGGCTCTGCTGTTCCGCGCACTCCACCGGGGCCTACCTCTTTAAAACTACACTTTCGTTTTCTCCGCGTGTTTTCTTTCCCCATATGCCTTCAATGCAGAGGCATGTGGTGGGCCCTGCACCGTGTCCATTTGGTCCATTGGAGATCCCAGTGAAGGCCTGAGAGCACAGGAAAGACAGGTCTCTCCGGAGCCCTCTCTCTAGCCAGGAGCCCCCAGACCTCATCATCACTGGTCCCCCTGTTCAGAATGGGTCAGCAGATGCCAAGGACTGGGGCATGTCATTACTCAGGACAATAAGAGTTCTGCGTCTCAGGCCCAGGGGACGCTTGCCTGCTCGTGAACTCTGTCCAGCCCCTGTGCCTGAGCCCTGGGAACAATGTTGGACCCTCACCTCCTGCCTCCTTCTGGAGACTACACTGAGGAGCAGGCAGGCTGTAGGGGAGATGAGGCCAGCGTAGCCAGAAGCTTTGCAGAAGCCCCTCAGGAGCCCCACTATTCCGGAGTGGCATACTTTGTGTGCACTACAGCAAGGATCCATGTCCAAGGCCAGGACCTTAGGATCTGGGGTGGGAGGTTACCTGGCCCCGAGGAACCTGCGACGGGCCGGGAGCATTGGGATTCGCGTCACGGCGCGGGCCGTCCCTGGGAGGAATTAGACACGGCGCGGCATCCGAGGTGCGGCCCGGTTGCCCCGGTGTCCCCCACCCTCACCCCCACCCCCGGCGACTTTGTCTGGCGCGCTGCGCCCACCGCCCGGCGCCCCAGGCGCAGCCAACAAAGCGGGCTTCTGTCGTCCCTGGGCCGTATGCAAATGCTCCAGGCGGCCAGCCTGAAAGGGTCGGCCGGGCAGGGGGCGGCCGTGCTCCGGGAATAGAACACCATTGTCTGTGCTGTTCGTGGCAAGAGGACCTGCACCAGCTTCGGAGTCAGATCGAGCGGGTGCACAGTGTCCCCCACCCCTCAAGCAGGCCTCTGCAGGCAGCCCATACCTCTGAGCCACCGTGGCTGGGGTTCAAACCAGTAGCCATCACTGTGCAGGGCTCACCCTCCTACCTTTTCTAACATCACATTGGTCCAGGATAGTCTGATAGATGCTACTGGGGCCAGTTCTTTTCCAGAGAATCCAGTACTCAGGATGTCCCCCAAGAAGAGCAAACTACAGGGCAATGTGCCCTGTTGGGTCTTCTGTGATGAGTGAGCAGTAGGCCACTATCAGCTAAAGCAAAATCGAGGCTGAATTTCTCCAGTGATACTGCTGGAGGTGGGAGAAGGGAGCCTCAAAGTCAGTGGTTCAGCCAAGAGGGATGGCCTCAGAGAGCAGCCACAGTACGCACAACCTGTAACTCAGGACACAGACTCAAGATTCCTGACGCAGGACTAGAGTCCACCTTTTTTAAGCTCCCAGGTGAGAGTCACTCCGGTAAGGGCTCTTTAGAGAGTTCCCCTAGGCATTGGACTTGGGAATAGAGTTTCAGGCAGAATCAATCAAAACAACCCCAAAGTGAAAAGTGGGCCTAGTGGGATTCATTCCAGCACTCAGAAGACAGGAACAGGTGTGTCCCCGTGAGTTCTGGGCCAGCCTGACCTGCTCTACGTTGTTCCATGACAACCAGGGGTATGCAGAGAGACCCTGTCTCCAAAACATGAAAGCAAAGTGTGCTGGGTGTGGTGGCCTGTGCCTGTAACCTCAGCACTGGAGAAGTTGAGGCTGGGCAGGAAATTCAAGGCCGCTCTGAACTACAAACCCTGTTTCAGGATAGCCTGGGGTACAACAATCTATCAAATAAAGAAGAGAAGCATCTAGATTTCTGCTGCAGTGAGTAGACACGCTGCAGAGGCTGGGGAGAGGTGCGGAGGAGCAGCTCTCCCAGGAAGTCTTGAGTGGGGGTGAGGGCAGCCCCAGTACTGGACTCAGGCTGAGTCTTCCTGCTTCTCCTGTTTATGGGATAGCATTTGAGACCCTAGAGAACTGGAGGGGAGTTGGCCAGGGGATCAGAGAAGCTGTAGCATTTTCTGGTGCCAAGAAAGCAGACATAATTCTCCACTCTTGCTTAGTTCCTTGGAAACCAGTTCTCTGTCCAGATCTCTGACCCTCATGGAGGCTGCTCTGGGGTCCTCAGCAGCTGCCCTCCCCCAGGGCCCTATCTGCACAGGGTGCTTACAGATGCCTGCACAGCCTGAGGGCAAGGCTCCCGGCAGGGCCTGTGAGGCCGAGGGAAGCAGGCTGCTGCACAGGCATCCCAGGGACCCCAGAGCTCTACTTTCCCACCCTGCTCTTGGCAGGAGAGTCCTCAGCAGGAGCCCCCCACCCCATCCCGCCCCAGCACCCCGCCTTCCCTGTTCAGCTCCATCCCTCTCCGTCTCCCCAGAGCGAGGAATGTGCTCAGGACACTGTGGGACTTGTTCCCAATCCCCTTCTAGCTCATTTCACCCAGGCTTTTACAAACTGGCCTCCATCCCGTGGTTGCTGTCTGAGTTTCGGTTCTAAAGGAGCAGACAGAGGCCCCTCCTCTCCACAATTCCTCATGCTTCACTTTGCCCCAGCTCCCCTCCCCCAGGAGGCTGTACCATGGAGGGTCAAGGAACCCTGGGGTGGGGGCAGGGTCCCCTGGACCCCAGTTCTACCACTGAGACACCAAGCACTATGGTGATGTCTGCCTATGTCAGGCCCAGGTTACAAGCCATTCATCCCTTCTCCTGGCCTTTCTGTTCACACTGGGCTTCTTGTTGGCAGTGCTAACAGGATCACTGATGCTGAATCAAACTGCTGTATCACCTGCTACCTGCCCTTCGTCATGGCGCTGAGCTGCCCTGCGTCACCAGCTGCTCTCTTCCTGACTGCCCAAGGCTTCAGACCTTGCTAGCTGCAGGTTGAAGGAACAGAGGCTAGGAAGGCATTTAATGAACTTTCCTTAGAAATGGAGGGGGCAAGCTGCACTTCCAGAAGCCCCCACAAACTGGGTCCAGGAAGGCCAGCATGTGGATGCAGGATGATCTCGTGCCAGGGTTTTTCTTCCTTTCCATAACCAGAGGGTCAGGACGCTGGTTAGAGGGAGCTTGGGTGTGTACCCTAATGTACCCCACTTCTTTTGGCGACTATTTGTCTCTATATCTAGTCTGGAGTCCTTGCTTGCTGATGCTTCTCTGGGTGAAACATGTTTGATTTCAGCCTGTGGCCTGGGGCATCATCTCAGTAGGACGGTGAGATAGACTGTAACAGGACTTGATGACACACCTCCCTAACAGTTACCTGACAGCCACCAAGCCCCCCACCGTGTGGCCAGAGAGGTATAGGAGGGAGACTCAGAAATGTACTGTGGTCTTCTCTCCCAAGGGCAGGCCATCTTCGATTCTAAAGTGGCTGAGGGCTGCCTGCTCTGCGCCTCCTCATCCACATTCGCGTGGTACGGCTTGAACTGCTGCTCTGTGGCCTGCCAGGCAGTGGCCATGCCTCACGGCAAACAGATCGTGGCTCTTCCTGAGCAGCCCTTCGGCCGCCTCCAGCCTCTGGCTCTCTGGAAAAGGGTAGAGCCCTCTGGCTCAGTTTGCCTTGAATAGTGGGGCAGAGAGACTGCGTCCTCCGCTGGGAGCAGAGGACAAGGGAGAGGCCTGACTGACAGGGCTGAGCCCTTGGGGGTCTTTTGGAGGAGTAAGGAGCACCTGCTCCCAGGGGGCCCCATCTGGGCTTCCCTGAGGGATCTCCTGGCCTCTGCAGCCCTCTGCTCCCCACTTGTGCCCTGAGGAGGTGCAGGACATTGCTGGCCCCAACTCCTCTAACCACTGAACATGAGCCTCTTTATTTCCTGCAGCTTTGAAGAGAGGGTCCACCAACAGTTTCTGTCTCCCCCAACCCCAGGAAAAAGAAAGGGAGAGAAGTCTTGAAAATAAACCCTGCAACAATCTTCAAGGAGAGACCTGTCCAAGGCCTTTAATCCCTTAATCCCTCTCAGATGGGCCTTGAGACGCTAATGGCTCTCCTAATTATTCCCTCCTATTTTCCCATAGCTGTGAGGACTTCTGAGCGCAGAGAACTTCTGAGTGAGGGATGAATGGACCGCCCATACCAAACCAGCTCTGAGTGGTTGGAGAGGTGGGGGGAGGGCCAGGAATGCCCAGCTGGGGTGTCAGGCTTCCCATGGCTGACACCCGGCTTCAAGACACAGTGGCGAGTTTAGGACAATGAGGCAGTTGGGGTCTGTCCTAGAGAGCCAGGTGTGGGACTGGGGTTCCTTCAATGTGAATGGCCCATTATTCGGCCAGAGCATAGTTGTTGAGGGTCTTTTTGTGACCTCCCTCCCTATAATCACCCTGGGAGGGAGGTGATGGTAAGGGTGAGGAGAGCCTCTAAAGCCTCCTTAGAGAACAGTTGGCCATTCAGGCCTTTGACTCTTCTTGTCTCCAGTAGTCTAGGATTCAGTGATCTCTGTATGTGGGGGGTTTAGGGCAACAGACATAGCCAAGATCTGGGGCCAGGCTCCTCCCCTTCAGTGTAGCCTTCTTTGGAAGATAGGCCACATTCCCAGCTACCACCATATCTTGGGCACCCAGAAGCCTTGTCTGACCTCTTCAGACATATTTCCTTTGGGGTCAGTCCTACCTAAGAGCAGCCACTGACCCTTGACTCTGGCCTTGCTCTGTCTTCATGCAACACCCCCTACAAACTCCTTGTGGGGTCAGCCATCAAGTCTGTTTTCCATAGAGCAAACACAGCAGTTAGGAGATTTGAGCTAGATCACTTACTCAAAGGCAGGTGGAAGACTGTGTGCCCTGGAGTCTTCAAACACCAGGCAAGGCATTTACACTGCCTTGGTCCCACCCCTCCACCCCAAATGCTCCTTCCCCTTCCTGTGATCATTGGGTTTGCTCTCCATGAAAGGAGACAGAACTTGGGAGGTGCTTGGGAGCGGCAGAGGGAGGAGGAAGACAGAGGCAGCCAGGTTTGCAGATCTTGACACTAGACAGTGGATCAGTGGTTACATGGGGGTTCCCCACACTGCTCCATTTTCCTGTGTATCGCCAAAATTTTTCTCAAGACAAAAGTTGGCTAAACCCCAACTCTCC